TGTGAGTGTGTGTGTGTGTGTGTTAGTGTGTGTGTGTGTGTGTGTGTGTGTGTGTGTGTGAGTGTGTGTGGTTTAACAGGGTTAATTTATCTCCAAACTGGTAGATCGACGCTGTGTTCCCGTCAGCGCGACGCTGCCTGCAGATAACCACAGTCGTATCGGATCATCAGTGTTTTGGTTCTGACGTCAGACAGGTGCCTCCAGTCTTAAAGCGATAAACCCCTGAAATCCCATCACTCTTTACTTGAAGGGTGTCTCCATAACACATTCATAACATCTTAATGAATGTTTAGATCAACATTTATAAAGTATACGCTTTACATCATATTAATGTGGATCACTACGTTGTTTTACTGACATACATTTTTCAAAATAAAAGTCCTTTTTTTTTTTTTGAAAAAGTTTACTATTTTCAGTAAAATGCCTCATTTCTGTACAGCCAAAATAAAAATGACCTCGCTTTATCCCTTTGATCGTTTAGTGCTTTGACACTGAGGCTTGTTTCACCCACACTTTCGATTTCTTTTTAATTATTAAATGGCCATTTTTATTTCGGCTGTCTAGAAATGAGGTGTTTTACTGAAAAATCTCTATTATAAAGCGTTATGTAAGATGTTATGAATGTGTTATGTAGACAGTCTGCAAGTAAAGTGTTACTGAAACCCCCCACTGTCTGAACCTATCCACGTTCATCTTAGTGCGCGGGTACAGTCTTCTGCCAAAGTTTGTGCCCCCCGATCGAAGTCCATGCTTCTTTTTTTTTATTATTTTTGGCCCAATTTTTCTCCCCAATTTAGTCATATCCAACTCCACCCACTCGTCAAGACTCCCCCAATCACACAATATCACCAGTGCTAGGACAGCGAAGGCTAACTAAGAAGATAATTAACTCTGATCAGCTCTCAGCTTTAACTTCTGTTCGGCGCTGCTGCCATGGTAACGCTGAATGATGGCGCACATGCAGTGGAAAAAAAGCACATGAATTCCGATCTGAGCGTCACATTAAGGTCGCATGGCCACGAATCGGATACGTATCCGATCTAAGACCACATATGAAAGTGACTCAGGTCAGATTTGAAAAGATCAGATTTGTGTATCCATCAGATCTGAAAACATCAGATCTGAGTCACATTAGAGCAAAAAATCAGATTTGTGCCACTTCAGCCTGGTAATGTGAACGTAGCCTTAGTCCCAATATTGCACCAATCCAGAGTACAGTTTTTGTACAGTAATATAGGTTATGAGATCAAAGCTATGATATGCACAGTTGTACACATTTCCATATTTGCAGTTTGTAAGTCTGAGGTAGATAAAGATTTTACATTACAGACTTATATTACGTCTTGATTTACAGGAAAAATGTTTCTATTTAAAAAGTGAAATGACGTCCCAGAATAATGAGCCACTGCTGAGCTGCAAATATAGATTTACTGAAGCATCTAAACTAGTTTTATTTATATATCGTAATATATACCGACATTATGCTGCGATATACAGTTTTGTCCATACGGCCCGCCACTATAATCAGCGCTAAACTGCGCGCTGTGTTTGCTCCAGTCTGTCGAATGTGCTGTTCGACGTCTGTGTGTGTTGATCTGAGAGGCTCGTATTGATCGATACGTTGTGTTTCCAGTTTTGGTGCATTTCTAGTTGTGCTCAGCAAATCTGAGCCAAACCCACCTCTCTCCGCAGCTGCCGTTAGCGCTCTTTTCTCTCCTCTTTTTTCTTTCTTTTTGTCTCTTGCAGATCCCCCCCCCCAGCTCCCCACTGCCCCCCCACCCCCACTGATGAATAAATGGAAAATAAAAACCTGTTTTGTCTCCGGAGCTCCAATAAATCAGCTTCTTTTCCAGTTAAAATGTCCAGAGTTGCAATTTATGTCTGAGCTTAATAAGCCGTTACTAAATTAATCGTGCTGGGGGTTTCAGCGCACACGTGTGTGTGTGTGTGTGTGTGTGTGTGTGTGTGTGTGTGTGTGTGTGTCCGAGTGCAGAAACTGATCCGAACGCTTCAAAACATCAAGAGCTTCAGTCTGAGGGTGGAAACTTTAGCGCTGACGAGGCTGGAAACTTACCTTAATGACTGAGGTGCAGTGAGTGTGGCGCGCTGGTGCTGCCAGGCTCGCAAACCAACCTGCAGCTTTAAAGCAATAATTCAGCGTTAAAAATCAGATGAAACCAAATCTCGTCCGTCAGCCGAGACGCGTTTGCCGTCTGAAGTTTGCTCCTGTAGGCTAAGCACTGGAACTACGAGGCTAATGTGGCTAACGAGCAGTGGAAGCCTATACTCCACCAATTAGCACAGTGCTAACTGCACACGTGTGGAGTGTCTCAGTGTCTCTGATAGTCTTGATTCTGTGGTTTCTGACTCTGTGTGACTCACTGCTACCTATAAACGTGGACTAAAGTATGTTAGCGTAACTAAAAATAGCAACAGCCTGATTTTTTAATAATATAAAACTGATGGCCTGAGCAGATTTTGCTAATTGGCTTCCTTTACTTGTTAAAATGAGCCTTTTTGGGGGATTTTTACCTGTACAGTCAGCTACAATGCTAATTAGTTGTGTCTAAGCTTCCATTACTTGTTAGCTACATTAGCCTCGTAGTGCTAA